CGGTTACAGCCAAATGCTGTTTAAGTATTTTAACTTAAACGGCAGTGGATTTTCTGTTGTGTATGGCCCCTGTGGTGGTATCTGTGCGACCTTTGATAAGCTCTTTCATGTGCTGGGTGGTATAAAACCCAACGCTTGTTCTGTTTGTATTGTAGGCTATGGGGCACCTTATGGGTACAGCCCAGCTGCGCCAGCCTACGGTATGTATGACCTATTAATTAACTGAACTAGAAATGGTATTGAAACTAATTAATAGGTCATACATACCGTAGGCTGGCGCAGCTGGGCTGTACCCATAAGGTGCCCCATAGCCTACAATACAAACAGAACAAGCGTTTGGCTTTATTCCACCCAGCATATGAAAGGTCATATCAAAGGTCGCAAACTTACCACCACAGGGGCCATACACAACAGAAAATCCACTGCCGTTTAAGTTAAAATACTTAAACAGCATTTGGCTGTAACCGTTCCAGATTCTGGCTGCAAAAATAAACAAGGCATTTTATGCCATTTTTGGAAGCTTCAGCATAGAAGAGCGAAACTCCGCCTTTCTTTCTATTTTCCTTAATTTTCTCTCTTAGTTGAAACTTTCCAGTCAATACTGTTGCACTGCAAGAGTTGGCAAAGCCCCATTTACAGACTTTCTTCATAAAATACAGATATGACTTAATGCACAAAATCGTCATTGTCCTCAATCCCCCACTTAGGAAAAGGGAAACCTGGAGGCCCGTGGTAAAGGTCCAAATCAGCAGCAGATATTTTTGGTGATTAAGAACACTGCCATTTGGTTTCCGCAGAGTCCAAACATATTCCACAGAAGACATCTGAATGGCTGGATAGTAAGTAAGCGCTGATGGCAGCTTAAAAAAAATAAACCAAACCATCATGGGGATAGGAGGCATGCAAAGTTAGAGGATACATTCAGTTGCTGAATAAAAAGGAATGGTGACAGCATTGTTCTTGGTTATTACTGCTTGCTATTTCATTAAGACTTAGTACCATTCATGCCTGACAAAGCTTTTTTTGAGGGGGGTTACGTTGGGGTGTGGGAGGCTGAAGAGGAAAAAGGTACGTACGCCAAGAGAAATAAATGCTTAACAAGTATGATGGCTGGGAAATTAAACCTATTTCTGGAAGAATTCCATGCTGGCAAGGCCTGTGCCTCTAGCAGGTTACAATGTCTCAGAAATGACTCCTCAGGCAGAAAAGCAGTTTCAGAAACAATGTTCAAGTCCATTAAAAATGAATGACTGGTTTTTAATATTTATGATTACATCAATATACAGGAACAATGAAGGCACCACATTGCTGACTGCGCCAGGAGGTAAATATATCCAACTACAGGGCTGCGCTATTAACATTTGGGAACTGATGAAGGGTGTAATTAGAGTTTATGCTATATCCTAAAAAACCTTGAGCACTAATGATCAGGGTTTTACACTTTGGAAGCTAAGTGAGTGTTGGCTATGGAACTTTGGAGGCAGAGATCCCAAAGAATAAAATAAAATATATATAAATGGAGGAGATTCTCCTCCCATCCCTAACTCCTGCACATGATCCCCTACACCAATGTGGTTCAACATCTTCAGATTGGCAACCCCTTATTCAAACTCAAATTTTTGTGATTCCACGCCATATAAAATGAATAGACCATAATGATAATAGACAATAAGTAATTTGTTTGTGTAGCTGGAGAAGTTCACAGAGAATACCTGACCTTGAAGGATAACAGTATGCAGGGAATGGAGGAGCGAGATTTTCTGTGCTTTAGATTGTAGTATGCTTTTCAACGCCTCACGACCACCCGCTCCCCAGGTGTTGTGACTCACCAGGTGAGATACACTATTTTAGATGAAGCAAAATACAGAGGAAACCCAGAAGTTGCTATGCACTTCGTCTCTGTAGCTACAGTTTTGTGGCTGCTAACCTGCCAATGGGAATCAACACTAAAACAGCCTGACCAGCAATGTGAATTCTACGTGAAGGGGCCCTAGTATAAATGGGAACCAAAAAGCCTTTTAATTTAGACTTGCGGTTTTGCTGCTCAAAGCAACGCGGCCAACATTACAGAGCAACATCAGCCAGAATATGAATGTGAATTTCCTTCCTTCATTTCTCCCAACATGACAGCTGTTAATAGGCACCTCTGCTCACAGCCCCAGACTGTGTGGGGTGTTCCCGAGAGCACAATGACTTCCAAATCTGCCAGCATAATCCCCACAGTTCACTACTCTGGAACGCATTTCAGCACAGCAGCAAGTTCCATTCCAGTAGCCTTTCCCCAAGAGGGCTGAAGAAGGGTCTCTCTTACTGTGAATCAGACTGCTCCTAGAGGGGATTCATCAGGCGGCAAAGCACTTCTCGCGGGAAGCAACGCGCACAAGACAGTATTTTAATTTTGCATGCACAAACAATACCCCTCTGCCCTTATTAAGGATAATGCTGTAGCATTATCTAGAATGAGAAACTCTTGGTAAAGCCAATCATAATACTAATAGGCATCTTCCAGGAGACTTCACAACTGGGCACAGAGTTGTGGGAATCATGCCATGGTGAGAGAGTTATGAGAAAGGCAGATATCAGAATTACAAAGCCCCAGGGAAAGAGTCGGAGCTGGATAACGATTTGCTCATCTTCCATGCATAATAAACTGCAAGCGAGATATGTTTCCAGCTCTACAGACTCTCTGACTTTTCCCTTTATTTAAACCCCCATGCATTTTCCCCTATGGCTCTTCTCAAATGCTATAAAACTAAACAGGTCACCAGCATGGATGAGTCTGACCCATAGAAAGGTGAACGTCAGCAGCCATAGTTCATCCATGGACAGCTGGGATGGACAGACCCTTAGCTATTAGCGCCATGACGTACCTGGTGTTATGTATCCAGTAGCAGCGGCTGCCCCAACAAATGCCCCTCGTGTTAAAGCGCCTCGTCCTCTGCCTCGAGCAGCCTGGACTGCTGCTGACACAGCTGTATTTACAACTCCTTTAGTCTGTGCAGAATAATAAAAATGGCATGATTCAGAACATGATACACGAGGCAATCCATGTTAAACCCATTGAATGCTATATTCAACCCGCTAGGCTTGTTAAAGGCAACACACTCACTCATTCCATTCTGAAGCGTAGCTGTGCAGAATTGGGGACTGTGGCACAGACCTATATGTGAGCTCACAAGTTCTCTCAATTTATAGAATGCCCTTCCCTGGACAGAACGAATGGAGCATTGGCAGCTGCCAACAGGCATCTTTGTTTCATTCAAACACCACAGTGAGCTATGAGCTATCTTTTTGTCATGGGTGCGATGTGACTCTGATCACTGATAGGGCACCAATGTGCTACTACACTCTGCTACTGATCTCCATCTCGCTTGCCTGTGGGGAGCTGCAGGGACACGGGGTCACTGCTGCAAAGCTGGATTTGTTACATCATCAGAAATCCTTGACACTTTTTGAGAGAGTGAAGTGCCCGGGAGAGACGGGGAGGATATTGACCCTATTTCTCCCCACCTCTCCTCTCTGGCTTGCTGTCTGTTTAAACCGCTGTGCAGCCCACCTTTGCCCTGCCCCATGAAGTGCTGAGCTAAGAGCTGGGGCAGGGGAGCATTGGCATTTTTATTATATTTCCCTGTAACATATCAAGGGAGAAATCCCAGACTTATTAACTTCAAGAGGACCAGGATTCTATCCCAAATGAAGCAAGAAAGCCTGGACAAGAATTTTCAAAAATACAAACCTATCTTTATTCTCCTAAAGTCACACTTAGGGCTTGTCTACACAACGTTTAGTTCACGGCAAGCTGGGCTGTGAATCTACCCCGCACCAGCTTGCCATGCACTAAGTGTCCGTGTGGACCCTGCTGACGCACATTAAACAGCTAATACACGCTGATCTGGTCCCATTTCAAAAAGGACTAGGCTAATATTGTGAGAGAAGAACAGGAGTACTTGTGGCACCTTAGAGACTAACAAATTTATTAGAGCATAAGCTTTCGTGGACTACAGCCCACTTCTTCGGATGCATATAATAAATTCGGACTAATAAATTTGTTAGTCTCTAAGGTGCCACAAGTACTCCTGTTCTTCTTTTTGCGGATACAGACTAACACGGCTGCTACTCTGAAACCTGTCATTGTGAGAGAGTTAGTCTGTGGCCAGGGCAGATTCCCACCTCAGCTTGCCACTAACAGTGTGTAGATGAGCCCTTAGGCATCATTAAACTGGGTTGCCAGATTTTCAGAAGTATTGGCCACTCAGCTTCCGTAGGTTGGGTTGGCAGCTGTCAGATGACTGGCACATTTCAAAGTTTGGCCACTGATTTTGACTCCTACTTTTTAGGAATCTTGGCTGCTTCGTTAGACAGGAATTAAACTTGAAACACGGTAACCCTTCCTTTGAGCTAGTATGTGCAGTATCCATTCAATCTGATAGATCTTTTCCTCTGTCCTCACATGGAGGCAGATTTCCATAGAATCACAGGACCTGGAAGTGACCTCAAGAGGTCATCTGCTACAGTACCCTGCACTCATCCCTGACAGGTGTTTGTCTAACCTGCTCTTACAAATCTCTAGTGCTGGAGATTCCACAATCTCCCTAAACACTGGAATTAATTACTTTACTACCCTGACAGGACATTTTTCCTAATGTCCAACCTAAACCGCCCTTGCTGCAATTGAAGCCCATTGCTTCTTGTCATATCCTCACAGGTTAAGGAGAATAATTTTTCTCCATCCACCTTGTAACAACCTTTTATGTACTTGATGTAATGGGCCATTTTCATGCCTGGCTATTAGGATCATATCCATTTTAAATGCTGAGTGTCTCTAGTGTTAAGAATACATCCTTCCTAGTTCATTTTTATTTTCTGGCCCACCGTAAGATCTATTTCCCTCTTACATGTCTGAATAAATCCCTTGCCTTCTCTCTTTTCATTTTGTTATAATCTTATTCCTTAATTACTTTCTGGCTCCATCTACTTATTCTACTCAGTAAACGCCATTTCTTAATTTTTTCTTCTCAAAAGCGCACAATAGCTACAGTTGTGTAGACAGCTCTGTTGGTCTAACCATAGACTGTGCTGGCCAAACCTCCTTTAGAAACTCTGATTTTTCCTTCTTTTTAAATAAAGGGAGACTGCATGTGTGCATCAAACCACATTGTTTCCCAAGCATAGACAGCAGCTGCAAGCTAACTGGCAACCTCATGCAGCAGATCAGAGAGCTTTCGAAGAGTAGTATTGACATAGCTTATTGCAAAGAAATGAGAGCAGAATAGGACTGAACATCAGAGTGCCTCGATCTCAGATCATTCTCGGATCTTAACTGCCATCTTTGTGTGGAACAACATTCTTCAGGAATTGGATTTTAAAATAATCATGGAAGCTGAAGAACTTCCATGATGCAGGAACTGGAGGTCTCGGGGCGCCCAGGAGAATTGCTATAAACATAATTGTTAGATACAGAACTTAACAAATACAAGTGGCTGGTAATTTCTCTGAATATGTTTTATGCTGTAGCAGGATGGAACAAAATTAATTTTTGCAAAGACTGGAAAAGAAACCTAATTCTAGTTAATCTGCACAATGCAGATCAAAGCTGTAACTGTCAGGACTTTTTCTGTGTGTGGCTTTCTGGAAGAAGTACACTGATAATCAGCTTCAGTTGTGTTCAGTGTTAATGGTATAGAATGGAGAGATCATGGTGGCTCTCAGGAACCATTTTAATGATTATTATTAGAATCTAATGTAAAAAGAAGTCTGAAGTGAAGTTTTTATTAAACAAATCCTCCCCTTCCAATGAAATGTTGCATTTGAAAAGGGATACCCCTCAAATAGTTTAGGCTCAAAATTCAACTTCATTTAGAAGCTAAAGATTGTGTCTATCACCAGACTATAAACAAGGTATTCTTTAAGTCTACCTCTATTACTATCAGAGAGGTAGTGCAGTCTAGTGGGTATTGCACTAGAGTTGAACTCAGGGGACCTGGGCTCTATAACTAACTCTGGCACTGACCGGCTGTGTGACCTTGGGCAAAGTCACTTCCCCTCTCTCTGTCGTCTCTATGTAAGATAGTAAGCACTTTGGGGCATAGACTGTTCTGTCTCTTCGTACAGCTCTAACACATTGAGGCCCTCACAGCAGCTCAGGCCTCTCAGTGCGATTAACAAATTACTAACAACAACAGAGTAATAAAAACAAAGGACAATGCTTCCAATAGACCTGCTGAAAAACAACAGACTGAAGTCATGTGGTCCCTCTGCAGATGCCATCATCTAATGCTACCCCAGGGCGGTGCTGACATAGAGAATGGCGCTAACTATAAAAGGCAATTGGGGATTCTTACCTGAGGGAGAATCTTCTTTTTCTTATTGTTGGCTGCATTAGGCCCAGAAAACAGTTTCTCAAGTGCTGCTAAAGCAGCGCTCGCTTTTGCCACCTTCTTATTTGGACCTGCGCCTCTGAACTTCTGCCCATCTACTTCTACCTGAAGCCAAGAGGTTAATTTAGAGCCAGTACTTTTCCTGGTGGGAACGACTATTCATATTTACAACCAGATCCCAGCTGGAATCATGAGCCGTTGATAAAAAATTTCAACAAGTCAGTCCACTTATGTGTAAAACTAACTTGTATTTCCTCCAGTGAGTTCAAAGCACTCCACGATCAAGAACTAATTAAACCCAGTAGCTCCATGTGATAGGTAATGATCACTTGAACCACTACGGAAATGGTGGGAAGGGACAGCTCGGTGGTTTGACCATTGACCACTGCTAAACCCAGGTTGTGAGTTCAATCCTTAAGGGGGCCATTTAAGGAACTGGGGAAAAAAATCTATCTGGGGATTGGTCCTGCTTTGAGCAGGGGGTTGGGACTGATGACCTCCTGAAGTCCCTTGCAACCCGGATATTCTATGATTCCATGATACTTAAGTTGATTAACAGGACAGAAGTTAGGAATCCCATATCAACTTGAAACTGAAGGGGGAATTTAAAGAGGTCCAATACATTTACTTGGGATGGAATTTTGCAGGAATTAATTGGGAAGGTTGCTATGAAGTCTTTGGTGGGCAGGACCTTAGCTTTAGATCTCACCCAAAACTATACTTTTAAATGATCCCCAAACCCCACAACTTTTTAGGGGCACCTACAGCTCTAATCAATCAGCTTTGCACCCCCATCATCTTCAAGAACCTGCATTATGGCTACCCTTTGGCTAAAGAAAGCTGCCTTGTACTCTCTAGAGCCCATCAATGCTGATTCTATGTCAGCCCAAGAACCTGCTGAGCCAGAGACTGAATCGGCTCCCTCTGTTACATCATTCCTAACCCCTGCTAGGCTGGCAACAAGACGATCAAATCAGGGCACTCGTACAGGGTTGCCAGGACCTGTCCATGACACACACTGGGTAGTGGTTTTGGTTACTCAGCTGCCCTCTCCCTATGTTATGGCAGGGATGTGATGTGTTTAAGGACTTTCATAACCAAATCCTCCTCCTTGCTGAATTATCCAGGGCAAGGAGAACATTCCCCTGCCATCCCCACAATCACCTTGGCCCTGGGAGATACAGGAACCTGAAAAGGTTACCGTCCCTCTTGTGGAAGAGAACGAACGGTAAGGCTCTGGATTAACAATAAATGGCAACAGAAAGCTACCAAGAGGACTGAAGCATTGTTAGCAAAACCACCTGCAGATTTCCGAACACTGCTGCACTCACCTCCATTACAAAGCGCTTATCATGGCTCCCACCTGTCTCAGAGATGAGCTCATACTTAAGACCTCTTCTTTTTTCATTTAGCTCCATCACTGGGTTTTTGCCACTTGCTGTGAGGATAGGGCCCTGAGTTCTTACCTACAGAGACAAGATATATTATAACCGTAACAGCTCTGAATGGCAGACACACATCTACAGCATGTCTGCCTAGAACAGCTGCCCACCTGGAAAATGCCAGTACTAATCATCTTCCTTTTGTGTTTCTGCAACAGCCAGTTCTTCCTGATACATCCGCCTTAGCAGGCTCTCTAGGGATGGACCGGCACAGAGACACAGCATTGTCAAAGCTTCAGCACAACCTGCTGCACCAGAACAGCAGATATGAAGCCCCTGCCCCCAAGGAAAGCTGAGGGATGAACCATTTAAAAAATAAAATAAAATATTGCCACCCGCTCATATCCGGCACAGCAGGCAGCTAGCGTCTCCATGACCAGTCGCCATCACCTTCACAGCACAGCATGGAGCATCATGCTGCTGGCTGAAGGATAGACCATCTAGGTGTCCAGTTTCTTGAAAGCAGCTCTCTGCTACTGAACAGAAGGGGATTGGCTTTCCCAGCCCTGCACATCTCTATTGCCTGATCTAACCATCCCCATGGCACTCCAGTCTCTGACTGGTGAAGCCACAGAGTGTAGGTCATACATCACAGTAGATATAGCTGTTATCTTGGGCTAGAAATGCAGAAACAAAGAGCCAGTACACCAGGATAGCAGACTTCATTACAGTCTGCTGTGCTGGAGGCACCAAAGCAGATACTGAAAAGTGAGAAGAACACAGAAAATTAGGAGAGCCAGGCCAAGATTTTCAAAAGTGTCAAGTACCCAACGCGAGGCACCTGCCCTCTGAAAATAAGGTCCCTTTAAGGCATCTCAATTTAGGCACCCAAAATCCTGAGTCACTTTTGAAAACCTTGGCCCTTGTAAACATTTCTAACTTTTTACATGAAAAACAGTTACGATTTGCCTTTAGTTAAAAATGATCTAAATAATTCTAGTTCTTTTTAAAACTGGGTTAAAAAGGCTAATATGATTGTGATGCTGTATGGAATATGGGAGACACTTTATAATATTGTTGATACCAATATTATAAAAGTGCAATGAATCTTACCAGGTATACCATGTAAGGTATCATTGGAAAAGTTATAATTCACTAGATACGGTAATCTTGTTTGTATCACCTTTGAATTGTAAGTTATAGATATGTAGGGTATTATCTATATTTCCAAACTTGTGCTGTGCATCTGGGTGACACCCCTAGACAGATTGGCATCAGCACTGCCCAGCCTGCTTGATGGCTCATCAAGGGACATCAACTGTACACTGAACTCACTGAAAGGGTCAGGGGCTACGTCTTATGACTCAGCAAGGCATGCAGAGGCATGCTTATAGACAGACCTCTAAGGCATCCAGGCCATGTGCTGGGCAGCTTGTGTTTGAAACCAAAGAAATACAAGCTGCATGGCAAAAGACTGTAAAAGGGAGCTGCATCTTCTCTATTTTGTCTTCATTCCTGCTTCTTACCTCTGGAGTAACTGTTCTACAAACTGCAGCTCTGAACAAAAGACTGAATGACCCATCCAAGCTGTGGACGTATTCCAGAGGGACTTTCAAGCCAGCAAACTCACCAACACTGCTAAGAACCTGATATGTGGATTTTGAAGCCTTTGTTTTTATGTAACTGCTTTACCATTTAACAACTCTTCTTGTCCTTTCTTTTTTCTTTATAATAAACCTTTAGTGTTAGATGCTAAAGGATTGGCTGGCAGCGTGGGATTTTGGGTAAGATCCAACCTAGTACTGACCTGGCAATGTGGCTGGTCCTTTGGGGTCAGGAGAACATTTTGTAAAGTGAGCAGAATTTTTAAAATAACTTCTCACCTTACTGCACCTAGGTGCCGATTGGGAGTCTGAAACTGGAATGCACTAAGAGGGCTGTGTGATTACCAGCTTCTTAGTAACCAGGGTGGGGATCAGAAGCACAGTTTGGAGAGTATAACTTCAGTGTTACCCAACAGTCTTGGGAGTATCTGCTCTCCTTTTCGCAACCTGCCCTGACCTTGGCATTTCCAGTGAGGGCTACACTAGGCACCTCGGGTCACAATGATTATTAAGGTTATGAGTTGGTCACAGAAGTCCGGGATTCCGTGATTTTACATGTCCTCCATGACTTCTGCACTGGGGGGGAGAGGAAGGGGCCTCCCACTAGGAGCCCTGGCTGGGAGATCTGGCTCCAGCCCCACACCACAGGGCTCGGGCTTCTGCGATTTATTGTTTATTGCCCACGTCCTGTCTGTGACAAAATCTCAGCCTTAGTGATTATACATTGTCTGGCTCTAAGTTTGAAGTCACATTATTTAAATGGGTTAAGTTATGAAGAAATCCACATTTCAATGTACTGAAAAGTATCTATAGAGCAGGCAGATTACTTAAATTTATATTTATAACAAAAAAGCACTTACATTTGAAAGGAGCATTATATCTAAAAATAAGGCAAGAATCTATATCTATTTATCTGCACACCCTCCTGAGTGCATCACAAAGATATCAGCTACAGCAATGAAAATTCAAATTAAAGCCTTCGCTTCCATACTTAACACAAACACTCATCTAGAATTCCTGGGGATGAAGAAGAAGAATGGTGGTACAAATGGAGATGGGGAGGGTGAAGAGGATAGAGACTAAGAGTACATCTAGACCCGTGGCATGGCTGCAGCTGGCCAGGGACAGTGGACTCAGTTTGTGGGGCTATAAAATTGCAGGGTAGACACTTGGGCCCGGGCTCATTGGGTCTCAGAGCCTGGGCTCCAGCCTGAGCCCAAATATCTACACTGCAGCCAAAGCCCCACAAGCCTGAGTCAACTGACCCGGACTCCGAGTCCGCGGGTTTTTAATTACAGTACAGAGACCCCCTAAGAGAGAACTCTGAATTGCTTGGTTTGTCAGCTCCTGACAACTATGTAAATATTGGAAATGGTTTAAGAAACTATTTAATAACATACTGCAGACCCCTTGCAACTGGACTCTTAGAAACACTCAGCACAGACTGGTCAAGTTAAGGCATTTGGTCCTTCAGGGAATACTACATTTCCCACAAATTCAGTGGGAAAACAGAAGCAGAATTTGCTCTTTAGAGTTCCTTAATTAAGCCCCAAGTCCCAAAATTAAGCTAGCGTAACTTTAGACTGTAGCATTTTTCTAGTCCATTCATAAATACACATTTAAAGGCATGATAATGCCTTTCACATTATTTAAATACATCCCTCTTCATTGTGCTACTTTTCTGTACCTCTATCAATGTATAGGTACTTTTAATATAAAAACAGCTCTAAACAATGAATCATGTTATAAAATAGAAAAACATTACACTTGTTACTTATTTGTCTTACAAGTGTGACAAGATTGAGGCCTCAGCGTGCTAGGTGTAAAGAAAGACTGTCTTACCCTGAAGACTTACAGTCTAAATAGGACGAGAGAGAGAAAGAATGATCCTCACTTTACAGCTCAGGAACAGACACACAGAGAGATGGAAGGGATTTGCCCATGGTTTCACTGGCAGTCTGTGGCAGAGATGGGAATTGAAACCAGATCTCTTGATTCCCAATCCAGTGCCTTAACTACACAAGGCCATTGGCCTCATGGAAAGCTCTCTATTACTGTGCGTTTTTCATTGAATACCCACCTCTAAGGTAGAGGAGGTGTCAATTGTAGAATTTCCAGTATTATTGCTTGAGTTTGAAGAGACAGTCTCGTTTTTGCCTTCGGTATCTGATTTTTCATCAGAGCTCATGCACTCAATATCTGCATCAAAGCCAGTTGGATAGCCCATTGCTTGTAATACCTACACCAAACGACATTAAATGAGATGTAAAACCAGTTTGGAAGCGAATGCAAGGCTGATTATACAGCAGTAAAAAGGCCACACACACTTCAGGAGGTAACTCACTTTGAAGTTCACTTTTCACCAAGTTAAATACAGCGAAAAATCAAGTACTAATGGGAAAAAGGGCCCTTGCCTTCTTAAGCTGCAAAATATAATTGAGAGTTTCCAGTGTCAAATGCACCAGCAATTCATAAATACCATTTTCCAAACTGAGGCTCCCATGTATAATATGGGATTAAAATTCAACCTATAAAATACAGGATCTGTATGCAAAGTAGTTATTCACAATTCCGGTTAGACCACTTCCACTCTGTACTACTACTTGACAGCATGACCAAGACATTCTGTTTTGCATCTTAAGTTCCATTGAGCTCAGCATATACAAGTCTGCAGAGCAAGGACAAGGCAGCTCATAGGAACTAAGGCACCAGGCCATCTGCAATATGGGATGCTACACATGTCGCATCAAGCCCAGATGTTAATTGTTCAGTTTCCAAGGTGGCAGCAAATGCAGGGGTTACCATATGCCTGGGTGTTCCCAGACAGGATCTCTTTTTTGAGCCTGCTTTCTTCTCTGTCCAGGCGGGGTTTTCAAACAACAGGCAACGGCCTGGGTTTTTGCAGAGCAGACAAGCTGCAGCTCAGAAAGACTCCCGATAGATCCATTCCCCTGCAAGTCACAGCTGCTGGATCCCGCCCACCCAGGCCCCAACTCTCAGCCTTGGGGAAGGGATCCTGCAGGGAGGTGCTGACAGATGACTGTGGCTGCATCCTGGGCTTGTGCCCTGGATGCTGACTGATGGCTGGGCCCTGCTATTGTGACGGGGAACAACACTGCCCCCCACCTCCAGTGAGTACCCCCGCCACAGGTATGCCCTCCAGCACCCCCGACTGTACTTCCCTCCCCCTGCAGTGTCCACTTTTGGGGAACCTGAAATATGGTAACCCGAAGCAAATGGTAACATGCAGCCTAAAGAGAAAAATCTTGGCTAGAACGCAGCACTGCTGGAATCTAGGACTGAAAAGGTCTCCCATCTGCAGCTGCTCAAAGAACATCAGCTGACAAACATAACCAAAGACGCACGTCCCTCTCAGCGCTGTAGAGGTGGCCTGAACTGAGGTGTGCATGGCAGTGAAGCAGTAAAGGAGACCCAGGCTAACGGACATGTAAGGGAGTAATTGGCTATTTCATCTGGACATGAATGTGAAGTACATCAAACCTCCTGGGCTGTCACCATGCTGCTCACAACCAGCCACTTTGTAGGAGAGAAGCACAGAACCTGATTTTGTCACTGCCAAACAAACACTTTCCCCAAGGGGTCTCCAGAAGAGATGGGGTACTCTCCCCCATCATGCACAATGATGCAGCAGGTCAGGCAGTTCTATGACTGACTCCCTGATCTGCCTATGCAGATGTGTTCAGTGGGCACAAAATGTAGGTGTGAACTGACTCAGAGGCTAACCTGAGGCCCCCCCCCCGAAAGTTTGGTCTCAAAAGCAAAGCTTGCAGACATGCCCACAGGTACCAAACACTGAACATGGAACCGGGAACAGCGTAAGCATTCTCCTCCAATCAAGGGGCACGCAGCTCCAGCCCCCTTTTCCCCGCCCTGATGGTTGGTAAGGGGCAGGTACCGCAGTCACAGACAGCTCTATTCCTTCCCCCGTTTGGGGGTGCAACACCATCACTTGCCAGTCAAATGCAGCTGCAGATTTAGAGCTTTAAGTATCTAAACAGTGAACCCTAAAAATGGAAACATCCCAATTTAGCCCTACAATCTCCTGGTGTGCGAGCAAGCAGCGCGTGGGCTGCCAGGGAGCAGCAGTGCTGGCTCTGCAGGGCCGGCCTGCCAGCTGGTCCTCAGCTTGAAAGAGGGTGGTTCCAAAGCATAGCCGGGGGGAGGGGGGTAAATTTGGGGAAAATGGGGCTGTACGAGGCTCCAGCCAGGAACCGGGAGCCACAGAGGGGCCCTGCAGGAGGAAGGCAGAGATAAGATCCTGCTTCTCAAGGCAGAATTCTTAATGGTATTAAAAAAAAGACAATTATTGGGGCAAAATGTAGGTGAGAGGAGGACGGGATGGGAGGACATATACAAAGCCACATCTCCTGCAGAATGATACATTCTATCAAATACTTTTGGGCGCTCTGAGCATGAAAGTAAAAGGGACAATGGGATTTTCAAACTCCTAAATCAAAGGAAAATGGAAAGTTGCCAGATGAACCTTCTGAAAAGGAAGTTCACTCAAAATACATGAAAGGAAGCACAGATAATGACAGATGGGTTTGTTCTTGCAGCTCTGCGCACTTAGATTTTCATTTTGTTTTTGCAGTTTACAGACAACTTTTCCTCCCTTCTCAGCAAGGCACACAGGGGATAGGTCTGGTACAGCAGAGCCTGATCTATCTACGAATTTACATGGGGATGACTGTGGTAGCCATTTTTATTTACTAGACACCAACTCAAGTCTCACTGTTTTACCAACTCCAGCTTTCTCCCACAGAGCCTCTGGAAAGGGGAACAATGGGGTATGGCTCAGGCTGCCTCATACCAATGGACCACAATAAAACTGTGATTCACCATCCTCTATTTACTGTAGCACCCATGATGTGCTAGGTGATTTCCAAACACTCAAGATGGGATGGCTCCCTGCTCCAAGGAGCTCACAACCCAAGGATAGCGACAGACAGGCAGAGGTGAGGGGAATGGGAACAACAGAAGGATGAGCCATCATACTAGTAACTAACAAGGGGAACCAAAAAACAAAACATGGAACCCACCCACACTCACTCACTCGACCTCTGGAGGCTTGGACAGCTCTGTTCACTTTTCCCCTCTTACTTGTTCACCATGGGATCTGGAAGTGCCAGAGCATTTTGAAAAGGCCCAAGATAGCAGGTTTGAGCCACACTGCCTCTCTTTAGAGGGTTTACCCATTGATAGTTCTGATCATATCGGTTCTGTGTTTTCCAGGATCCAGGGCTGGAATTATCAACTTAATTCATATTCAGGTCTGCACCTCAGCCTTACCTTCACTGCCACATGGAGCTTGGCCGTTTTCTTAGAAGGTCCTGATGCTTCATAGGTCGTACCGTCAACATCTACAGACATTGTGAAGACTGGGGCATGGACTGGACCCGACTGCGACAGAAGCTTATACTGAAGCCCTGGCCTGATTTGGTTCAGTCTCATCAGAGCGTTCATGAGATCGATTGCTTTACTGTCTAGGACTATTATGGGAGAGGGTGGGAAGGGGAAAAAAAAAAAGAAAGATTAACAAAAGAAACTGAGAAGTGAAACATTTTGCATTTCTAAAGTACCATCCATCTGCGTACTTAAGTGCGCTATATAAACATGAATGAATGCCAGCCATCCACTCCCCCAGTGGTTCGTGACCATTACTACTCAATCCCTTTAGAGCTCAGAGTTCTGTACCAATCAGTCAGGTTCTTCCTGGCTGCTACAACTTGATATGAAATTTCATAGGTCATACGGTACTGCGAGTGCTACCTGCAGCCGGATCCCATATGAAACTAGGCACCAGGAGCTACTTGTTCACAGTAATCCAAAAAAACACTCCTGGTTTGCATACACAATACAGGTGATCTGTCAATGGAATCAGCACCTATCTCCTGTCCCAAATGTGGGATGTGAACAATCAGTTCTACATATTGTGAGGTCTTGGTCTGAGGCTGTTTGAGAGACAACTGCCAGACATTACAAATAAAATACCTGAACTCTTTGGACAACCTAAGTTTTAATATCACCTGCTGGAGTAACCTGATCAGTGACGTGAGTCAGTCAGCCAGTCAAATGTGTTCAAAGAAATTGAAACCCACCCTAAGCAGAGGAGTTTGAAGTTCTGAGCTCAGCGGGATTGAGAACACAAACATTCATTCCAGAGGCTCTTTCACATGCCAGTCCACACCAACACCAAGAAGTTTTTGTGTCAGCTCCTACTATAACCAACAATGGCTCCTTGAAGCCTGAACAGATAAAAGCTGCACTTACTTTTCCTCAAGTTGCGCTTCATCTTTTTATTGGGATCTTTATCATCCCCTAATCCATCTTCAAATGGCCTTTTCAGAGCAGAGGAGCCTGCACCTAAAAGATAGTTCTCCTTGTAATATGGACTTAAATTGATAGTGAAAAACAAGGCAACAATCCCATAGCACCTGTCTGATTAGTCCCATTACTTCGATGTTAACCTTATAATTAACAATCACCTGCAAAGGTCTGTATTTAAGAATTTACATTGCTACATAGAAGAAAACATTAGCTTATAACTGGCAGCAGAGGGTCATGTGGGGAGTCCTTAAGTTTCCACTGTTGCCTGCAGAGGTCCACAGAATTGAACTTGGCAACAGTAGCCAATCAGATCACATATTCAAACCTCCACTTCCTTACCAGCTCGAATACCAATAGTAAGGCCTACGGATGTTGTTACATGCCTTCTAATCATCATAAATATCTGGAAATCTCTGCAAGAGATTTCTTAAGTCCAACAGCTGAAGTTTTATTTTAAAAGCTAACATTCTATAGGGGAGCTGAAGTCAGAGATCCACGAAAAACAAAATCAAACACGGACTTCGTATTTCAGCAACCTTCCAGATTTTCTGTAAATGGAGGCAGCTTTGGTTCTTAACACTCAGCGCCACAGAAGTCACTGTCTCTTTAGTCCTGTATTTCATTTACATTATTTTATATCTCACGTGAGCCAGCCCACCAGACTGCAGGGCTGCTAACGTTTTAGACATAAACAGTAGCGTGACCAAAACAAACAAACCTGTCTTCCTCATTTAATCTCATTGTGTTTTTATTGATAAGCTAACTCCAGCTGAAATACACAACAGGTCTATCAGAATACAGTATGTCAATAATTCTCCTGAGCTCAGCATCCATCAGATGGGGAAAAAAGTATCTCTACATCCATCATTTGCCATAATAGAAATAAAGTCCCTGTAATAGACAGTGTCACTGGATCAATGTTCTCACTTTAAAAATAAATGGCTAGGACTGGCCTCACCATTATCAAGTGACAAGAAACGATTATTTCTGTGACAGTGCTCCAACTCCAAAGACATGATCTCTTAATTATAAAATGGCCTGGATTGAGCAAATGGGCTAACAGGATGCATTAATCAGATCCGACTAAAGGAACTATGCTCACATAACCAGTGAAAGGGAAATGCCAAAGAGGGTGGAAAAGGGGAATATTTTTTTAAATGCTTTAGAATTAATCTTTAATGTGGACTTTAGCAACTTTATGATGGGGAGCAAGTCCTTTGGCTTGTTCCACTCACCTTGATCCGAACTGCCTGTTCTAAAGTCTTCGACATCTAAACCTCTACAGCAATGTTCTTCAGTTAGCGGCATGTGGGCCACATTTGGGTTAGCCTGCTGGGCATCAGCTGCTCCTGCTAGGGACTCCGCTGTAAGGGCTACCTAGCTCCTGGGCTCCCCCTGCCAGGAGGTCCCTTTCCCTCTTGAGCTGCACAGGGTCCTCCACACCAGCAGGTGCCAGCCCAGGGGAAAGGCGGGTCAGCATGGGGACACTGCAGCTGGGACCAGGTAGGGAGCACAGGAGCCTGGTCAGAGTTGGAGCCAGGTAGTAGGGCCATCCTGCAACAGGGTCCCCAGCTGGAAGCAAGAGGCAGGGATGGGATAGGCTAGGGGGTGGGGTCACCCCCTGCTCCCTGGGTTTCTCCCAACCCCCCCCCCTTTTTTTTTCCCCAGCTCCCTGCACTGAAGCAGTATTAAGGAGGCGCCTGTCTTTGGCAGCTACTCCCTTCTCCCCACCCTTGGGGAAACACTACTCATTCAGAGACTCAGGATTTTTGGTGAACTGAAATTTGGACAAACAGACTTTACCTGTACATGGCATGATTGTAAAGAGAGGAAAAATAAACCACCGCTAATTGGACTAGCACTCTGTGCTCCAATCAAAAAAAATCAGCTAACGTGCCATCTTCAGCACATGTGCCATAGGCTGCTGACCCCTGCCAGCCAGGCAAAGAACTGACATGCTTTCACTAGACAGCAAACAATGAAAGAGCCCTCTGGCCCGCCAAGACTTGGGCAATGCCTTATTCGGCCCCCCAGAAAACCGAATTGAATATCACTGCGCTAAGGATTTTACCATTTTACCATTTTAATTCTGGTTAGAAAATATACTTCACATTCATTTCAGGGTCTAAGAGCGGGTGAGACAGATGGAGCTAGGAGGAAAAACAGGATTGCCTGATGTACTGTTTGGGTATTTGGAATACCACTGGTTCAGACTATGGAAAGCTACTTTCATTTTGTTTAAATAGATAGTCCAAGGTAAAAACTGTAACAATACTGTGCTTAGAGAGTTTTTTTAGGACAATTTTATTTTACTTTACCATCTTCTCTAAGGGATTATTTGCAGTGAATCTGAGCAGGGACACTGACCTAATATTGCTCATTTTGGCTTGTCTAAAGGCTCTTGCTCCCCTAGCATAAGAGACATGCATTACTTGGGGCATGGGGAGTAAAGGAGGACATACATCAGAAGAAAACCACATGCTACACTGCAGCGGTCACATTTCCCACGTTCTTTTGTATGTTCTATTATTTAGTGACTAGAGACCGCTGATAGATTTTCCTCTAATAGTATTGTCATTTTTTTTTTAAAAGCAACATTCTTCTGACACACACAGCACATAACCCAGAATTTCACCAAGCTACATTCCAAAGAGCCAGCTTAGCACCCAGGTTACATCCTGATTGTGTTTTTAAGGACGTTTCCCCAAGAGACAGTCTGCACTTACCTTCTTTGTCAGTAACTGACCAGGGATATTTTTGAAAGGATTTATTGGATGGGAGAGGATCCATTTCAAGCACCTTATAGATCTGACCAAAGGCTGATAGCCTGAGCGCGTGCTAGGGAAGAACAGAAATGAGACATCACTGCCATGCTCTGCCCAGGTGTCTGAACTTCTGATTAAAACTCTAGACACAGCATCAACATCTCTCCTATGAGCAAGGACTCAAATCTCTATGGAAAGGGTTAATTAGCGAGCGAGAGAGAGAGAACAAAAACAGCCATTTCTGGGATACACTGTGAAATTCACCCCTGTTCAGAGCACCAGCACGGGACCTATGCGCCACAGGTGCTTAAAGTGGGACCTACACGAAGCACAGGCTTTGGGGCCCTCTCAAGGAGAAAATGTCATTCATAATAGAACTCCTATATTCTCAAAACCTTTATTTAATCCTTCCAGTGCAGGGCATGAGAAGAGCTGCCATGATTCTACTGCAAGAAAGAAGCCATCCTGAGCAAAGGGGTAAACTGAATGCAGGGACTCGGATGTTCTTCAGCAGAAATGACACTTAGGTTCCTGGAAGCAGAGGTTTTCTACCTGAGCACTGTGTGTTATGGCTTCTTTTTGCTGCACTGTCATATAGGACAAAGCGTCTGTTGGCTCCCGCTCACAGGGATCATGCAGGCCAGGGCCCCCTATAAGGGGGAAAATAAGACAGTTCAGAACATGTCAGAACCACCACCCAAAAGACTGCTGGAGTCAAGTGAAAGTCACAAGAGCTAAATTCTACTCTCCGATGAGTGCAGAGCCCCCATCTCTCTCGGTGGGGACTGAAACAGCCTTAGGAACAAGCTAACCCTAAGGTTTTACCCCCTAAACGAGAAGGGCCATTTAAATTGTTGTTGTCCACACTGTACACATAAGACAAGGCACCAACGGCTAAGAATTTGGCAGTGGAGTTTGAAAACCTGGGAGAACTACTGATTTCCAAACACTGATCTATACTAGCTGAGCATCTGGCCCATGGTCTTCTCTCTAATTCCCCAGCAGTCATTCGATTGTGAACACTCCACTCCCAGCAGGCGCTGTAACACCACAGCATAGAGACGTTACAACTATTAATAGGGACAGTATATTTTTAGGTTAACCATGGAGCTTCTCAATGTCTTGCTAACAATTCACATGCTAAACCTTCTGCTTGCTGCTCCTGAGAACAGGCATTTTAAAACATGCAGGAATGGAAAACACGCACATTTCAAAACAGAGGAATGATCAATCTTTGGTGTGTCTGAATTTATTCTGGGCCCTTACCAGGAAGCAGAATTCCAGATGCCAAACACTCCATCACTCGTCTTAAGGCCTCCCCAGCGCCCAAGGGTCTATTACAAGTACCTATAGATTTTTCACATATAAGCTCTAGTGGCTAAAAGACATTAAATTAGAATTAGTACAGGTGCCAGAGCGTGGCCGCAGTTAAACACAAGAAGTCATTTCAAATGGGGGTGAGGCGCTGCTCCTAGTGACCCTGGGGTGTTTGTCAACCTGTGGATTTCTACAGTGCGCAGCTTTTCCCAGCAGGAGGGTACCACCAACTCCACTGCGGTGACTGACACTGAGCTCACATTTCCAAGGCTACACCTGCACCAGCTATGGCAGTGAGACGCTTTGAAAAGTGTCAAATCTCTATGGCAAGGGGTGGATTCCGCAGAACACGAGGCCCTGCCGACACGGTGCCCATTGCCATGGTTTCCAGGCACCATACAGAGTTACTGAAATGGACACAACCCCTCTCCCTCCTCAGCTCCACAGGCATTGTTTTAAACAAAAGATTGTTTTAATGGGTGTGATGAGGGAAAGAAGCAGGGAGCTGAGTTTCACATGCTCACTCTACAGCCCTCACAAGACACCGTGACCATTTACTGAAGGTCTGACTTTTCAAACCTAGTTGCCATCTGACTCCTGTTCCACACTTACCCATCCTTTTAGCGGTGCCCATGTGGGGACTCTGTTGCACAAATCACGCAGAATACGTAGCACAATTACACATGATTTTAGTCCATTTGCCCTGGCCTAAAACAAACAAAATGGTTCCAATACACTTGCTGAAATCCAGCCTTCAATTTTGCTTTTTAAATGTACAGAGTCCTGGAATAGGTTCTTTAATACGATTACTAATTAGCACTTAATCAGTTTCATGCAAACAAAAAAAAGTTACATAAAAGCAAAATGCTGCGTTTTAGAGAAAGGCAGGCTTAACAGTAAAAAGAAGCATAATGTTAAAATTGCTTTTGTAGCCTCATGACAACTATAGACCAGTTGGCTAGCTACCTAGCGTCGTCGCTTTTACAGAACAGCACTCAGAATTCGAAATTCTAGACTTGCACTCTAGAGGGGCTAGACAGAAATTAAAAAAGGCATTAAAATTAAAAGTGTCTCAAATTAAACCTCATAAGGCTACAATAACAATAAGATAAGAACAAATAGCCAACCTGAAACCATTTGGCGTGCCGCAGAGAGGCCAAGGCCTCCAGGCATTTCTGCCTGTCCAATAAGTCCGGAGGATCTTTCATCGCAACATTATCTACTGGTAAAATGGGATAAAAAGAGACAGATACAATTTGACCAAGGGGTTTCTGTCACAGTACATAAAGAGTGGCAGCATCTCAATGAGCTAATAAGACTCCCAGAAAAAAAATTAATTTTTTTTAAGTGCACTGTGTTATTTAATTCAAACAAGCCATTAAAAAGGTAGTAAATGTGCACATGTGCAACAGAAGCAAAAGGCATTCACTCCTTATACAAAATCGATGGCCACTGCTACAGACAATCTGGGATCTTATTAAAAATGTAGAACACATTTCAGGGCAGAAAATAGCTATGTAGCACTTTTCCTTCTTTCGTTCCTCCCTCCCGTTTGTGGTTTTATTCCAGGTGCATAAAATCAGCACAGAATTACTAACTGACAGCAACCTTCTCAACAAAGAGAAGATTTTCTTGAAGAAGAAAGTTTGCCTCAGAGGCAGGAAGCATTGAAGAATGATTTAGAGGTGCCTTTTGGGAATTTGAAGATGCTTCCAGTTTATCTTTATCAAAGCCACAGCAATTAACAGTGGAGAAGTGTATTTCTCTTCAATATTAACTCAATATAAACAAATTGGAGAAAAACAGAACTTGTGTTAATGTGCACTTTACATTTTGATACACAAGTTCTTTCACTCTGACTGTAGTGTTGTGTGTAACCAGGTAACAAATGAAAGCAGCAAAAAAGTTTTAAAACTTCTAGATCCTGTTAACAATTTCAAGATTGTTTTTCTTTCATAAAAATCTTCTCTTCCCAACAGCAACAGAAATTGTCTAAACAAACTAAAGTCAGAGTTGAGACGTAGAAGACTGAAATCTTCTGTTAAGTTTTACACTCCCACCCGCCTTTTTTTAAATCCAGCATGTTACCAAGTGCTTCTAGCAATCACATCTCGTTCCATAAGAAATTATTTTTCTCGTTTTTTTAAAGGAACAAATTATTAAAACCCTGATTCTGTAAACCCACAAAGCCCATGCCTAACTTCATTCATGTGATTATACTACCTCATGAGTAGAATTACACATGCCTAAGTATCTCTGCAGGATTAAGGGCTAACTTCCTTAGTCAATAGCATTTAACTGACATAACAGCACATACTGGGAACTAACCAACCCATAGTTCAAAATAACCCTTTGAATAAATACACTGACTGTTCTTAGGAATCTATTCTATTGCTCTCTTGAAATTGGCAGTAATGTAGAAAAATACTGTTTTTCATCATTCATAACAGCTAATTCATATGGGTTTGTACAGAGATAGCCATGTGGGGCTGACTGAAATACAGAACCCAAACCAGCTTGTAGATGCCTGCCAGGTAAAGCAATATTCAGTAACTAGCAAAACATTTAATTTTACTTAGGAGACGCGGGAGAAAAATGGATACTACTGTATACAGGGCCTGCGCACACCCACCCACACCCTTACAGTTAATGTCCCAGCTGCCATTTGTTTTCACAGGTTACGCTGCATGGTACTGCTATTTTAATATCAAAACGGCCTCCCTTCCTATGCTGTTGGCTAGGGAGACAGGTCTAGCAAAGCTGCAGCCATTACATCATGATGGATAAAAGGTAATGAAAAACCAGAGTGTGAAGCTCAACAGAAACAGAGACATCTTGTCTGATAGCTTGTGGGTTTAGTTTGCATCTATTGGCTCTGCTCCCAGCAAAGGACTGAAGTGCTATATGCTTATTTTCTGACCCTGATGAACTTCGCAGCAGATATTTGCATTGTTTCTTGTTATCCTCATCAACATAATCGCATCACTAAAATTCATCTCCACTCCTGTCCTCCCAATCAGAGCTGCAAAGTCTTACATGGGATTAGCAGGTATTTGTTTACAAGCACAAAAGGTCACTTTGCATCACATCGCTTTGGAATTTAAGACTTTTACTTTCAAATTTCCTCTTCGTTTACAAGAAGAAAATTGTGTTTTATTGGTTATGAAAGCACAACATGTGTTACAAATCTTTAAATGTTTCTGTAACAAAACCCTTTACTGGGGACAATATAAACATCTGCTTAAAGCTTAAAACAGCTACTGTCAATGAGTGATTAGAATCTTCTTTAAAAGTTAGAAATGGCAAAGGTTGACTGACTGCAAAATTGTTCAATTTTAACAATTAAGGTGAATTTGCAAGTCCATGAAGTCTATTTCCAACTGAGATTGTACAACATTTTGCTAGAGTATGTTACAACTGTTGATGAAGTAAACTTAATTTTACCACTAACTTATAAACCAGAACATGGTGTGTATTGTCTGTTACTGTACAGGTGACTAAATAGACTTCACTGTAACAGCATAAATACAACACCCTACTTTTGCAGTGGCATGTTGATGCTCATTAGAGGTTATTTAAAGAGGCCAGAGTCACTAATGCCTTTGAAAATAGTGCATTCATTACATTAACCCTTGAGTTTCCAGGGCAGCTTTTGCAGATGTTGCAGGCAGTCAACATTTGGGTGCAAGATTCTGTTAAACAGAAAGATGGAGAGAACAGGCAGTGAAGAGGGGTGAGCGACTTGCAGCAGACTCCCTTTTGACATCCTCATTAGAATGGCATGTTTCTTCATGCTCTGCTAGTCAGGAAAGTGAGACCCAATCAAAGTTTTCAAACATGTACGAGGAGCTTTCTTCTTTTCCTTTTTTAGTTCTAAAAAGGACACTCAGCACTGATGAATTTGTTAAAAATAAAATAAAATAAAAACCAGCCATTAATTCAGAGCCTGCAACACCTACAGAACGAGTCCTTCCATAATCTCCCCTGCCAACATCGTTAGTTTATAGCTACCAGGGCTACTTTCTGGAGAGGAGGCAAATCTGTGGCTTGCTCTGCAGGTCCTTCAAGGGCTCTTGTGGATATCAAGAACATCAGTGACTCTCTCTGCCCACCGAGGTCCTGGTGTCAGACAGATTATGAAGCAGTTGCTCAGTTACTGAACTCGGTTGTTTTCAGCACCATCCTATTTGGGTGGCCGAAGTTACTTCTTATTTTGAATGTACAGGTTTAGTAACTGCAACTATTTCCAGAGTGGCACTGAGAAAGCCTAGTTCACAGAGATCCTGTTCTTTGGGGGACATGAGTGATATTAAACTTGCCGAGGACATAAATTTCACTCCGACGCAGAATGCACCAGATTCAAACATTTGACCTCCCCATTTAACAAGGAGAAAACAGAGCTTGTACAATGGCTCCAAGGGGATCGCTTGGAAGGAATATCGAAATGCACACACACTGGTCTGGTATTTGTTTTTACTACCAAACAGCAAAAACAAATAGAACAAACAATGCTTAAAATGTAGTAACACTTCTCAAAAAAAAAAAAAGAGGGGGAGAGACTAAAGAGAAACCCAGGAATGTTTGTTCTCTGCATTCTGACATCAGGGCATGAAGGTACACGCGACATTCCTACAGAACAAATGGAAGCACTGAAAGAATTCCATTGCACCTAACCTTGCTTATTTGGTTAGAGGATAGATTAGTGACTGTAATCAAACCATACTGCTGGAAATCTTGGTCAGTTTCACCCAGCCTTTCCCTCAGCCTCTTAGCATACTACTAGTCAGCTGCCAACTAAGGAACAAAGAGAAAAGCAGCAGCTGGAAAAGAATGGCTCCTCTTACTAGCAAGATGAAAAGCAAATTATGAAGAACTTGAAAAGCTTTTCTATCAGAAAAAAAGTAAAGAAAAGCGAGGAATAGTTTTTAAAATGACATATGAAATACACATGTATTTGGCTGGCACTGTCCAGGAGCATCAAAAGAAGAGTTGCAATATTTTCCCTTTATATTAAATTATTTTTCCTGAATTGTTTTTCAACATATTTCCCTTGATATTAGATTTGAAACTTTATTCACTTAGTAAATCTAAAACAGCTCAAAGTGACTAGAAGTGGTTGTAGACAGTTGAAAATTTTTCTCTTTTCCCCCTCTAGCTGGTTACTTAATACAGTAAGAAAAAATGTTTGATTAACTTATGAAGGGGAATATTACAAGTTTTCTTTGTTCAGATAAACTAGGGAGTGAACGTCACAGAAACTGAAGCCAACTACAAAAGAATCTGGACTTCAGAACAAGGTGTGTTAACCAGTTTACAATCATCAGTTTTATGGTAGGGGTGGATCTAACAACCGCTCTTATTACCAGCACTATCACAAATTTGCAGAGACAATCTTTATATTTAAGAGGTGAACTGCAAGGTTTTTGAACAAAGTTTTGAAAAATATTTTAATATCCTAAATCAGTAACAAAACGACAAATATATTAAAACAAGAAAGTGTGAAAATTAATGTCCTCATTCAGCTTAGCAGACGAGTCCCAAATTAATGAAGTCCAGGTTTCTATTCCAGCAGAGGAAGGCACTATCCCCTCCTGAAAGGGATCACACAGGAAGAAACATTTGTGCAAAACTGCATGCACACAGTGATGTTAAAAATACCTTCCCATAAATTTTTGTGCTCAGTCTCACGAGTGTGTATCTGTCGCAATGGAAACAAACCTCAACTCAGCACTTGCCAGGAAGTTGAAGAAAATGTGCAGTAGTCTGCAAATATCTGGCTTTTGTTTTAAAGAAAAACAATTGTGTTTTTGCACAAGAGCCTCATTAGTGATTTGGGAATTCTTGGACATTTTTATTAATGAATCTTTGCTATTCATCTCTATCGCAAGATTCTTGCACTTCCAACTGCTGCCTAAGTGCTGTATTTCACTTGAAAAATCAATCCTTCCTGCCCTCTCCCCACAAAATGAAGAGAAACTGACCAACATTTCTCAGTGTATTGGTATTTCATGTGGGAAGGGGGAATAAGCAAAGGGACTTGTGGCAAGTCTAGAAATGGGAAAAGAGCAATAGGGAGTTCCCTAGCCCACATGGGCCCAGCTGCCTCAGTTGTCATGACAGAGAGTGGCCAGTTGGTCAAAGGTCTGACATCATCCAGTGGAAAGTTTCTAAGCATAGGTTTGGGAAGCGGAAGCAGAAATTATTGACGAGAAGATTACAATAAAATAAAACACGGCTGCATTCGCTCTGTGTGTTACGCTTGGTTTCTTTCCAATCTCGTAGACGTTAAGAATCAACGCTTCTTAAGAGTTTCTTGTGGCTAAGTTGCAAGTCCCCAGCAGAGAGGGAAGAATGGATGGGGAAGAATTAGGATGCATAATTTTCCAAATATATTTTTACATTCAGGACAGTAGGTACAACATTAACTTCAGAAGTGAAGTGCAGTATTTTAGCTTTAACTTCAACTGTATCCTAGTTAGGACGTTCTTACCTTAAAGATAGAAACACACATACACATCAATAATGAGCAAAATCTGTGTGCCAGGAAGAGAGACAGCTTTGTAGGAACTGCATTTTAAGAGAGCAGTTTTATACAATAGGAATAATTTTATGAACCAGTCCAATTTGACTGATTTAATTTAAAAACACGACTGTGCAGGCACTGCTTAATTATTAACTAATAACTAGTTCTGCTTTCTTTCAGACAAGATCTAATTGGTGTCTGAGTCAAGGCTATAATAATGCTGTCTGCACGGCAAATGGAATTTTACATATATTTATGTGAAAATTAAATGGTTGCTGGCTGTTTAAAGAACAATCATTGTAACCGATAGAGGTGAGCCAAGCTAACGATGACACACAGTATACAACAAAAACAAGACCTCACTCCCTAAACTAACCCTGTGCTACACGGTCAGAAAGCCTTTCGGAGAAAATTCTGAGGGAAGCAGGAAAACGACTCTCTCTATATACCTCCGTCCTTCTTCTCCGTTTCCTCACGAATGAGAGGGGATGTAAGTATCACCTTCAGTGTTAGGGTGGGCTCCTTTGTGTTACGAATAATAATAGCGGCCTCATTCACACACTGCTCCACGTGGTACTTCTCTTCTGTAAGTTTCTGAAAGGCATCAAGAAACATTTTCAAAAATCCCCAATCAACCATGGTAAAGACAGCATCTCCTAAAGAAACATTTGCCCCTTGCAGATGACCCCTGAACTCGCATTGCTACAATACACAGGTTCTGCCAGGCACTGCCCCTCCACCCTCAGCTAAGAGTTGATAAGTTGTAAATAATTTTTCACAACATAAATAGCTGTTCACCAGAAAAACGCTAAATGGTGGCAGCATAAATGCACTACAGCATCCCACTCATTGTGCAGACAGTGATCAGTCATCTTTTGAAGCTGCCCAAGGGTGAATTACTTGCCAGCAATTGTAGGCTCTTACAGGATCTAACTCTTGGCAATGCTGCCTCTAAATGCAAAACCCCTGGCAGTTTACCACCATCCTGACAATTAGCAGCAGATGCAGGCAAATAAATGGCTCCAGTCCTACCAACCAATCTGCCTGGACAAGACCTCGGCACCTGCATGGAACCCCGCTGGCTTCAATGGGACTCTGTAGGAGATGGGGTCCATCCACATGGACCAGCTTAGAGAACTGGAACCACAGAGAGCATGTAAGAGTTACCCTTTCTAATCACCGTGTCTTTACAAATAGGGAGATCAATCTAGGGCACTTACTTCCTCCAGAAAAAAACTGTTACAGGCAAGCAACATACCCTCGCCACTACCCTACATGTCCCCACTAGGCCCCAGCTACGGAGACGGCTGTGTCTGCAGAGTAGGACTTTGCCTCCATAGAACCTGAAAACTTGTGTGCAAACAAATGAACAATGGGAAGTATAGCTCCCAAGAATGGTAGAAACGTGTACACTGTATGTGGAAATAAACATGAGACAAGAAAGCAAACCAGGAAGGAGGGAGAATGAGTTTCATCACCTAGTTTAGAAAGAGCTACTTGCAAGGGGTATTTGTTGGGGCACAGGCTCTAGGCAATAGTGCATGTCATGAGCTTCAGGCTGGACTAATTATTCAGGCCCAGGGGTGTGTCAAAGGAAGCTATAACTCTGGGCTCCCTTCATAAGAGGTGGTACTGGCTGCATCTGTTCACAGGATGCTTTTTTACACACCAAAACAAAAAGGTACAAATTAAAACTAAGTACATATCAAGGGTTCATCGTGATCCAGGACCACTGACCGCTCAGAAGGGCCTCTTGTTAAGGGTATGATTTAGGGTTCCGTGACTTTACCGGACCTCTGTGACGTCTTCGGTTTCAGCTGTCAGCAGCTGAAGCTGGGGCTGGAGCCAGAGCCAGAGCTGTGCATCCCTTCCCGCAGCTGGAACTGAAGCCGGGGCTGTGCGCTGCCCACCCCCATGACTGTGTGTTCCTCCCTCTACCACCCCTGGAGCTGCGGCTGGAGCTCGGGCTGTGCATCCCCCGTGTCCTCCAATCGCCCCTGGAGCTGCGGCTGGGGTCAGAGGCAGGACTGTGTGCCTGCCCCCTGTGGTGGGGGGGGGGGCTCCAGCTGTCATTCCTTCCCCATCAGCCCTGCCCCACCCAGTTATTTTTAGTCAAGTCACAGACAGGTTACAGGCGCCCGTGAATTTTTGTTTATTGCCCGTTGGTGACTTTTACTAAAAATAACCATGACAAACTCTTAACCTTCCCTATTGTCACTTCAGAATCACCGAGCTGAACGCAGAGCTGAGGGACAAAGCTTCTGTAATGGGGAAGTTCAACACACTGGGCAGAGTGAGCCAGATTGACATGCTCAGGAGAAGGGAGATCTAAGGCCTTGGCTACAATGGCAATTCACAGCGCTGCACTTGCTGCGCTCAGGGGTGTGAAAAAACACACACACCCCCGAGCGCAGCGAGTGCAGCGCTGTAAAGCGACAATGTAATCAGCGCCTGCAGCACTGCACACTCGCTCGCAGCTATTCCCCTCGGAGAGGTGGAGTACATACAGCGCTGCGAGAGAGCTCTCGCAGTGCTGGCAGCGCGACTACACTTGCGCTTCACAGCGCTGCCGTGAATCCGCGAGTGTAGCCAAGGCCTAAGACCCCATTTAATTTCTGTGTTAGGAGTGAGAGCAGGGAGAATCCCAATGGGTGAATTCTCCAATAGGAAGGTTAGGCCTTGGCTACACTTGCAAGTTACAGCGCTGTAAAGCCTCCCCCAGCGCTGTAACTCACTCCCCGTCCACACTGGCAGGGCACTTGCAGCGCTGTATCTCCCTGGGTACACCGCTGCAGGTACTCCACATCGCTGAGAGGAACAACAGCTGCAGCGGAGTGGCTGCGACTCACAGGTGTGAGTGTAAACGCTTGCAGCGCTGTACTAATCACCTTGTCAAGTGGCCAATCCTCTCCATTGTTGTGACCGGCTGCAGGAATGCGGAAGTGCAGGTTTCAAAGCTCGTACCACAGAGAAAAGCAAACAATTTGCAGCTTGCTTTGAGTGAGTAAATGAATGAGCAGGGGGCCGGGAGTTCGGAACTTGCAAAATAGAGAGATGACATGCTCCAAAAAGCACTCTCTCTCCCCCCCACACTCCCTGTCACAATCCACCCCACCCCCCAGTTTTGAAAAGCACGTTGCAGCCACATGAATGCTGGGATAGGTGCCCATAATGCACCGCTCCCAACACAGCTGCAAATGTTA